ACCGTCTTCGGTCTCTGTTGGGAATAATAATTGGGAAGATGATCAAAAGATTATCTCGAGGATGAAGCTTTGCAGGAAGTTTTGCTCCGGTGAGGAGTGTCCTTATGGGGAGAGGTGCAATTTCATTCATGAGGAACTGTCGAAGTTTCGTGAGGACTCAGGGAAACTGAGGGAGAGCTCGGCTATAAGCGTTGGTACTACTGCTGTTGATTCGCCGTCTGTTGAGAATGGTAATGTTTCTAATCAGATTGAAGTGAATAGACAAGGAGGCATCCCTGTACCTGGACCTATGACCAATGGTGGTGGTATCAAGACTATGTACTGGAAGACGAGGTTGTGCATGAAGTTTGAGGCGGGTCAATGTCCTTTTGGCGGTAAGTGTCACTTTGCTCATGGCCTAGCAGGTATGCTATATTTTTGTTAATATGACCTTATGTTATGATATATCCTTGTGTAGATTTGCAAGTCCTGTGTATTGATATTTATCTAAACTTCGTGGATTGTGTGTGATCTTGTGTGTCTGATGTGGTTGTCGATTACGAAATTGCAGAACTGCATAACTCTATTGGAAAGGTTGAAGGAGAAGCTGTGAACGCAGTAGCGCCTGTGAGTAAACAAACAGTGGTAACTGCAAATGAAGCATTTGCAATGAAACCGAATGCACAAGTAACAGCAGATTCTTCTGGTCTTAACGAAGAAAGTCGAAGAAAGAAGTGTTTACTCAAATGGAGCGATTCCAAGAAAATAAACAGAATCTATGGAGACTGGATCGATGATTTACCGGTGGGTCAAAAGTCGACGAAACCAGTGGAGAGCTGAGTGTTCTTGTCTGGTTCCATTTTGTCTTGTCTTTGATGATCAAAGGTGAATAAAAGCTTTGGTCGAAAATTTTGAACAGTAGAATAATCTTTGATCTGTTCTCATTAGCAATTCTTTGATTCGCTATTAGCTTAGGATTTCCATTTTGTTATAATCTTTGATTACATAAGCGTGACTTGTGTCACTAATAGCATCATCATCTTCATTTGTTTCTATTGGCTTCTCCTTTTTACCAAAATATATGGATAGGTTTCGTTTCCCTTCTAATGTACTAACAAATCTGAAAAGAGAGTTCATTTTACATCCAATCTCTAGAAGTTGCTGATATTTTTGTTTTGATTTTTTAATTGAAACACTAATTATTGACATTGGCTCGTAATTTAACCAAAATGTTAAGGTTTATCGTTAGTTTTTGGATGCTCAATTCAATCGGTTTTATTGGTGATGATTTTAGACTAACGATCATAAAATACTTACAGTGCAGAATAAATATTTTTTTTTTATTTCATGAATGATCCGAATAAATCCGACTAGTTTTCAAGTATAAACTTATGGAACATATGTAGTTCTTGAATAACTAGGTTTGAATGTTTTCTAAAAAAAAACACTAGGTTTGAATGACCGAGCATTACAACAATATAGTAGTGGAAACTCTACATCATCTAAATAAGCACATAGCCCCACTAATTTTTTGTTTTCTTTGCTAATTAGCCCCACTAATTTAGAAGCAACGCTTTCAAGTTTTATCACATAGTTTGAGCTTCTCAAATGCAAACGCAAGAGTACCACTAGAAAACACACAAATTTTATGGTCCCGCAAATCTATTTAACAAATAATGATTCATTAATGCCAAGTGGTCATTTTGGTTTCTTTCCCTACAAAACAATGAAAAAAACTAATATAAGAAATAATATCGTTCTAACGGCTTAAAGTGAAAATCATAATATCTATACAGCCTATACTTATATCTGTGATCATTTCTTCATAGTTTTATAATCTTAGATTTATTCTTTTTATAGAAATCACACAAATTATATGGGCCCTCAAATTAACATTTTCGTAACGTCTCCTTTACTATTCCCCACTTCTCCAATTTCTATTAACTTTTTTTTTATTGCTATTGTTTTGTATTCTTTTTCAACATGACATGATGGGTAATTAAAGTC